AGTGATTAAGTGCTTTATGTGTGGATAATTGATTTTTGTTCTACAGTTTTAAAATGTGTATTATTTGTTTGTTTATGGAAAGGGATATATTCAGATAGACAGACATTACAAAAGGACATGTGGAGGTCTCACACTTCCCATCACTGTCTGTTTATATTAATCCCCCTTCCCCATGGTGGCATATAGTAAAACTATTAAAAACACTGTCCTATCCTAAAAAAGTGCTGCAGTAAATAGCCTCATACATACACCATTGCATCTTGTGCAGACCTTTCTTAGGATAAATTTATAGAGGGGCTATCCAGTTATTAGCTCAGTTGGTTAGAGTGTGGTGCTGATAACACCAAGGTTTAGGGTTCAATGATCCCTGTTCCAGCCAGCTTCCAAAAATAAACAAACAAACAAATTGAATAAATGAATAGGATAAATTTATAGACATAGAATTTTGGTTCATCATGTATATGCATTTACAGTTTTATTACATATTACCAAATTGTCCTCCATTGAACCAAGTTTACACTCTCACTAGCAGTGTGTTGGAGTACCTGTTTTATTATGCCCTTGCCAGTACCAGATTTTTTATTAAAACATGGTTAGTGAAATTTGTAAATTTTCATTTCCATTGATTTTTTTTTTTTTTTTTTTTTTTTTTTTTTTCCATGTCCGGCAACGGATTGCAACCCTCAGTGTCGCCCCCGTACCGGACCGGGACCGGCAACGGGATCGCAACCCTCGGTGTTGCCCCCGCGCCTCGCTCAGCCAGTGAGCGGGAACCGGTCTGTATGTGGGATCCGAACCCTCGGCGGGAGCGCAGCCGCGCTTCCCAAGCGGAGCACTAGCACAGTGCGCCACCAGGCCGGCCCATCCATTGATGTTTTTATAGAAATCTTGGATCTTTTCTGTTTTCAGTTGTCCATGTCCTTTGTATGTTTTTTTATTGGGTTGTTGGTTTCTGTTTCTTTTTGATTTGTAAGCACTTTTTATTTATTAAGGAAATATAACCTTTTTGGTGATTAGTTGCAAATATTTGTTTCCAGTTTGTTGTCCTTTGACTGCTCAAGGTCCATTTTTGACAGTAGTAGTCAATTTAATCAGTATTTTCCCATTTTTTTCTTTTTTTTTGATTTTAGGTTTTATTTCATAGTGAGAAAGGCCTTCTGTAGTCTATTATAAACAAATTTCCTTCTTTATTTAAAAAAAAGAAAACTTTATGGTTTTATTTTCTGCTTTTAAATATTTGGCCCATTTGGAATTTATTATGGTGTAGGCTATAAAGAGTGGATAGAACTTTTTTCCTAGATGTTTACCTACTTATCCTAGCATATCAATTTATTGAATAATGTTTTTCCCACTGATTTGAAATGCACTTTTATCATAAACTAAATGCCTCTGTTAGTTTATGATAAAGATGGCATTTCCCATTAGCTGGGTATGCTTCTCATTCATTCACCAGCAATTTTGGATTTTGGCCATTCTAATAGGTATGTAGTGGTATCTTGTTTGAATTTTTTTTTTTTTGTCTTTTTCCGTGTCCGGCAACGGATCGCAACCCTCAGTGTTGCATTTTGAATCCTGTAAATATGAGGGTACTTAAAACTTTGTGGAAAAATAGAATTGAAAGATAATGTAAATCATTCTATGAATTTTCTGAAGTACGCTCATATGATGTTAAGCATCTTTTCATATACTTACTTGCCATGTGTATATTTTCTTTGGTGGGGTGTCTGTTCAGGTCTTTTGCTCATCTTTAAATCCGGTTTTCTTATTGATCAGTTTTAAGAGTTTCTTATATATTTTGGGTAACTATCAGATATGTCTTTTGCAAATTAATATTTTTTTAATGTGCTGCTGGGTTCTGGAGTAAATTATTTAGGATTTTTATCCGATATAAAAAGATTGGTCTCTGTAGATTTTAAATAGGTACAATTACACAGTAATTTGGGCTATTTGGGGATTCAAACTGTATGAAGATCAATAGCCTGATTAGAGTTCACATCAAAATTACTGGACTTATCAGCAGACTTTTCATAAAATCTGTCAAATTGATGGTCCCCCCACAATATAGAATTATTGATATCTTGCAAACATTGAGAAACTGCTGGAATGTAGTTACCGCCTTTGAGAAATGGAGGCCAGAAGTATTTGGAAAACTCTAGCAGATTGCCAAGAGGAAGTGATGGCTCTCAATATGACTTGTCCTATGAGACCTCATCAGTTTTTTTGTTGTTGTTGTTTTTTTTTTTTTTTCCTTTTTGTCTTTTTTTGTGTCCGGCAATGGATCGCAACCCTCAGTGTCGCGCCCGTACCGGACCGGACCGGACCAGCAACAGGATCGCAACCCTTGGTGTCGCGCCCGCACCTCGCTCAGCCAGTGAGCGGGAACTGGTCTGTATGTGGGATCTGACCCCTCGGCGGGAGCGCTGCCGCGCTCCCAAGCGGCGCACTGTAGCAGTGCGCCACCGGGCCGGCCCAAGACCTCATCAGTTTTGATCACATTAATTCAATAAAAGAGAGCAGGCTAGATTGAACTACATTAATATAAAAAATTTATTAATGGCTTTGTAAGCAAGCCAATGTACAGAATAGAGTGGGGCTGTTTAGCCTATTTAAAAGAAGTAGTAACTAGCATACTTGAGAAAAGCTAGGTGGGTAGAGATGGGAAGATGCAGAACTAAGCAATGTAGAAACACCAATTATGGATGGCTATGGAAAAGGTAGAGACCAGAGAAATTACTGGAAATGCCTATCAGGTTTTACTTAGCTCCTGGCAGAAAGCCCCTAAGACACTGGTAATATGGTTATGCTGCAGCTGCTGCTACTACTGCCACTACCACCATCAAAATGCTCTAGCTTACTTAAATTGAGACCAGAGTGCCTTAGCTCTCCTTTGGAGGACCCTCATATTTGTGGAAAGGCATGGAGAGGAGGTAGGGGAGAAGGTATGGGTTATTTTGCCAGCTGGTATTTTAGAAAGAAAATCAAACTCTTTTCTGCCCATGAACAAAGGAATGTTTTATTGAAAATGACTTCTGAGGACGTAAAATTTCTTTAAGTGATGAAACAAACATTTTGGCTAGTTTCTAAAGAAAGTCTGGTCATATTCGTGTGTGTGTGTGTGTGTGTGTGTGTGTGTGTGTGTGTGTGTGTGTGTCTCTCTCTCTCTCTCTCTCTCTCTCTCTAGTACGGGGATCTGAACCCTTGACCTTGGTATTATCAGCATCTTGCTCTCAGAGCCAGTCCTGACTCTAGTGACTCTTATTTTTCCTTGTCCTGAGGCATAATATAGAGCATAGTTCTGCACCTGGTTGTAAATTTCACCTTCCTCCTTTACTGCTGGGCTGTCAACTTTTAATTCTCTTACTTCATCTTTCTTTTATATTGCCTCCAATTGCCTTTTTAAACTATTATTATTGAAACATAATTGATTATACATATTTGTGAGGTACAGAGTTGAATATATGTACAATATGTGATGATCAAATGAGGATGATTAGCATGTTCATTATTACAAAACATTATTGTTCCTTGTGCCCATTAGCCAATTTCTCCTGGTAACCTCTCTCCCCCTCTCCCTTTCCCATCTCCAGTCACCACTGTTCTGTTCTCTCCTTCTGAAAGTTCAATGTATTATTGTGTTCTTTCTTTCTTTCTCTCTCTCTTGTTTTAAGGGAAGGTAAATTACTCTCTGTAAAAAGAGATGCCAGTTCCTACAGGCTATTATAAATGATAGCTAAAAAGGGGTGTTTGACTAACATGTAATCTAATATCCTAATTTAGATTGGCACCTTTCTCTCATGAGTGTTGGGAGCTCCATTAATACAGTGTTGGTATACTTTTTTGTCAGTCTGTAGCTATACTGTTAGAGCCATGCAGTGACCACGGTGGTAGTGAAGATGGCTGTCTTGAGAGGTAAGCATTTTCTCTTGTTGTTGCTAATTAATTAATCATTTTGAGAATGGGAGCTCTTCACAGATTTGGGGATGAAATTTTTAGATGAATCTATCCATTATAACATACAGTTTCGATAATCTAAAAAAGAAGTCAAGCTTTTAACAGTAGGCACAAAGCATATTAAATGTCTACAAATAGAGTTGTACAGGTTCAGACAGTTATAACTGGGAAGATATTCAAAGGGAAGAACACAGCCTTCTTCAAGACACCTAGAATTTTCAGTTGATTTGTAGAACAATTGGGAATATATTGATATCCTGAGTATACCTGTCAGTGAGTTAATTCATGGTCTTGGAACTATGGGAAACTGAAAGATTATAATGAATTTGCTTCAACAAATATGTATAGGATGTTTCTCTTCCCCTCAGAACTCATCCTTGGTGTGTCCCAGTACAGTCTTAGCCAATTGGTGCTTGTTTACCTCCTTGGCCAGCTGTAATGGGAGGGAGATACCTGAGGCAATGAATATTTCAACCAAATGTAGTCTCTGAGTAGAAGCTTTCTAGAATTTTTGTTTTCTTTGGTAGATACAATGGCTAGAAACCTAGAATTTTTTAAGTTACTGGGTACAATTTGGGTTTTGTTACCATTTGCATTATTATTTAAGATGCTGAAATGTATTATGACTTTATTAGGAAAGACGATTTGATATTTTGAAAATACACCACTAGTGAAGTTGCAGGCTAGATCGTAAATATTGAGAGTCCAAACAATATTACTAATTTGCTGATACCCTGTTGAACAGGGTAAACTTGTGTCAATTCAATTGTCTTTTTTAATTGTGAGTGGGAAACTTGTTCTCTGAGGGTAAGTAAATTCTTTGGAGCCATGTCTCTGGAGCATCCCCATACTCTGAGGGTCCACAGATTTCCTGCTTACAGCAGTTCCTTGTGCTTCCTTTCAGGAGGCAGGAATGATCTTCTTCCAGCCCAGGGAGTATTGGAGCTATGGGCTGAAGATATAAGATTAACAGCATTAACAGGCATCCCCAGAATGATGACATCTGGATTTGGTAGAACATTAAGGATCCATTTAGTGAGGATTCAATCTTTTTGGAAAAAGCTCTTTCCTCTTCAACTTGTGTATAGGTTAGCAAACTTGTTTTTAGATCCAAAGAGTACTTTGGTTAGGTGGATTACATTTTGCATGTTTAACAGTCATGTTTCTCAAATTTAGGTTATTAGGTCTTACAGTCTGCTAGGATAGAATTTACTCCTCCTACATTTGCTCTCACTCTAAGCAAAAGAAGACCTTTGAGTTTGTCAGGGCATTTAGTTCATTTCTCAGTTTCAGCAAGAGTAATGTAATTATGCATATGAGGAGATGACTTTCTATATTTAGATTAAGGCCTGTCTTCTGAGTGCATACTCTGTTTTAGCCAGTAAGAAATGGCATCTGCCTGTGTCACTGTAAATTGCAAGAGTGTCTTTGGAGACAAAGAACTTTCCCATGGAAGGCATATTGATACCCTACTGTATAATAGCAGATTCTCTGTTGACTGGTAAAATAGGTAGAGATCATTTGTGACAGCTTGCTGTAATATCTGTTCTAAATATGACATCAGTTTTTCTGGGAGAATAGAAAGTGAATTGAATTTTTTAAAAAATTTTTTAAAGTTAAATTTTTTAAAAGTTAAAATATAAAAATTTCAAAACTTTATATATGTTATTGTTATGTTTTGAGGAGGGAGAGGTTTAGAAATAATAACCTTTTTGATTACATTTTTTAAAGTTAAATTTTTTAAAAGTTAAAATATAAAAATTTCAAAACTTTGTATATGTTATTGTTATGTTTTGAGGAGGGAGAGGTTTAGAAATAATAACCTTTTTGATTACAGGTAGTAACCTTGTGATAAAACACAGATTTAAAATGAAGGACTTTGCTACACCTTTAAAAAAAATCTTTAAAAAAAAAGTCAGTGAGGAGAATAAAACTACTTATTTTGTTAAAACTAACATTTGTTTTACAAAATCTTTTTCATTATGCATTTATTCTTTTTGGTTTCTACTGTGGATTTTAATTTTTCCTTTTCTTTTTTTTTTTTTTTTTTTTTTTTTTTTTTTTTTTTTTTTCTTTTT